TTCGCGCCGAGGCCCTCTCCCTCTTCAGGCCATTGGTGGACGCGTCAGCGACGGAGGGCCATAGGACGCCAGCGGTCCGTGGAGGCGGGGCGGGGACCAACGGGCTCGGCGGGAGACCAGGAAGCGGAGTTGTAGGGAGGCGGTGGCGGTGCTGGGACGTCGGGAGGGGTAGGCTACACCCGGGGCGGGGAAGAGGCGGCCCCCGCCTGTGCCCGGAGTGCGGGCTGCGTCCTGCGCGCTCACCCTGGGAAGCCGGCCCTCCCGGGTGCCGCAGCTGTGCGCCGTCTGCGCTGCGCGCGGGGGTTCCTTCTCCGCCCTCCTTTACCCAGAGCGCTGGAGCCTATTTCTGGCCTGTCTCGCGCTTCTCCGGCTCTCTGTGGAGCTCCCTTAGGGGACTGCAGCTTCCCGGAGGGAAAAGAAACCGGATCAAAACAACTCAAACTTTAAACTTCTTCCTGTCTGGGAGGAGATTGTTTAGGAGGTGCATCTCTCCACTTACTGCCGTGCTTTTTGATCTAAGGCCTTGCACATCCGGCTTTTTGTTTCAGCAAATCCCTGCTAGCCACACCGATCCCCATATTCCCGGTTAACCCACGAGCCCAGTCTTCCTTTGACCCAGCCATCCACCAGCACTTAAGGCTGGCTTTGTACTTAAACCACCCTACAACCGGCTTGTCACTTCACCCTCTCCCACCCCTAACCTCAGCAGATTGCTTTGGCGCTTGCTTCGTTCAAAATCCAAGGGACGGATTTTGCAAACCTTCGGTTGCCAACCTGTTTGCAGCTCTCCATTCTATCAACCTTTCTTTTTTTTCTTTTTCATTTTTCTTTTTCTATCAACCTTTCATCAGCATATTTCTTTCCCTTTTTTGCGGTGTAAGATCAATCGCTCCCATTTCACTAGATCACCATCACCATTGACTTAGTCTCAGGATACGACTGCCACACACCAGCCTCTCTCCTCTTAGAAACTGAAATTGTTGAAAGAGCTGCCCGCCTTCAATTTTCTAATCTCTGCATTCCCATTCACACCTGGGTTTCCACTCTTGTCACCCCAGCCACTGTGTTCTATCCTTAGGTGCCTTCGAGTAGGGCCTGTTGTGTCCAGTAGAACACAACAGAGCCGGGGCCTGTGCCCTCAATTCTAATAGTGGTGTCCATGGTTCTAGCCACTGTGTTCATTTCCTTGAGGGTCATTGAAGTCACCAACAAGTCGTACCTCACTAAATCCAAGGATGTGGGATACAAAAAGACTTTTCCCCAGCTTCTCTCCCACAAATATATATGTCTGATCTAGGACACTGCTTGCAACCAATGGTGAATGATTGTCAGGTTATCTCCCTGAAGGCACCAGCCATCCAAAGCAAGCAGACCCTATTGTCTGTCTCACCATAGGTGAGGCTCACTCTACTGTTAGGGACAGTGGCTTGCTTTCCTTGAAGGGCTCAGAATAAATCAAGTCTCCAGCTCAAGGACAATCAAGGTTAGCCTGCCATCATGAATCTAGAATCTGCCCATTTTGTCACGTGCATACCTTTTATCCCTCCTCTTCCGATAGGGTGTACACCCCTAGATCGTCCCCCTCCCATTACTGTATTACATATAGTACAACCCCTCCCTGTGACATATGTCGTTACCTGTAATGAGGGGGCATGCATGCCCCCAAAAGATATATAAGCCTTAGTTAGAAATCAATCTCTCCCTCTCCTGCCCTCTCTGCAGGTGCTGTGCATGCACCTGGCTGCTGAGATCATGGCCGTCCAGGAGGTGAGCATGCTAACATGAAATGTGTCTGACATCTTTCTTTTACTCTCTCTTTGATCTCTATTATTCTCTATGACTTTACTGTAATCTCTCTATATTTTGACTGTACAATTGCACTTATCAAACCCATGATTAGTTATGGGGGGCTGGTTCCCCCCCACAAGGACACATTTTATCAAGGGTCGTGAGGGTGGGGGAGAAGGGAAAAAAGAGGAGCTGATACCAAGGGCTTAATGGAAAGTAAACATCTAGAAAATAATGATGGCAACATGTATACAAATATGCTTGATACAATTGATGTATGGGTTGTTATAAGAGCTGTAAGAGCCCCCAGTAAAATGATCTTTAAATTTAAAAAAAAGAAAGAAAAGAAAAAAAAATAAAACTGCTCTTTTGACTGAAGTGGCTCTCCATTCTCCTGTGTTTCCCCAGCCTCCTTGGCTTGCTTACTGTTGGATGACCTCCCAATGGCACCGGATTCTCAGTCTCAGCCCTTTCCTGAACTCCTCAAATGTCCCCTGCACCATTTAATCCACTGCCATCATTTCAATCGATGCATCTCAAATTTATCACGATGGTTATTGCTCCTCTGAGTTCCCAGCACTTCCAATTCTCCACTAACACCTCAAGTGGAACACACCCAGGATTGAATGCCTGATTTCCACGGCTTACTCCTCCCGCTCTCC